GGGGGCTGGGGGATGATGGGGGGGGACGGGGCACCCCCTGACCCATGTCCTGCACACACAGGGGTATTCCAGGAGCTGGGAACATTTGAGTGTTACTTCATTAACGGCACCGAGCGGGTGAGGCTCGTGGAGAGGCTCATCTACAACCGGGAGCAGTACGTGCACTATGACAGCGATGTGGGGGTGTTTGTGGGGGACACCCCGCGTGGGGAGAAGATTGCCAGGGACTGGAACAGCCTCCCAGAAGTGATGGAGCTCAGACAGGCTCAGGTGGACACGCTCTGTCGGCACAACTACAAGATCATCACCCCGTTCAGTGTGGAGAGGAGAGGTGAGGGTGGGGCAGAGCGGGTCCCCTCGGACCCTGCCCCAGGAATGACCCTAGAGCCCCTCAAACCCTCCCTGGGAATCACCCCGGACCCCTCAGCCCTCTCTGTGCTTGTCCCGTGCCCTTTTGCCCCCTCCCAGTTCTTCCCAATCCATTCCAGTCTCTCCCAGTCCTTCCAGTGCCCCCTACTCTCTCCTAATCCATTCCAGTTTTTTTTGGAGACCATCCCAGTCTCTCCCAGTGCCCTCCCCGTCTCCACCCCGCTGGGGCCACAGAGCTCACGCCCCTCAGCCAATCCCAGCGCGTCTCTCTGATGACGCTCCAGTTGCCAGGCAGACCCAAACCAAAGACTTCCCTCACCACGACTCAGCCTCCCAGTCCCGAGCGCTTCCTTCCCAGTCCACACCAGTCACTCCCAGTCCTTCCCAGTCACTCCCAGTCCACACCAGTCACTCCCAGACCCTCTCACTCCATTCCCAGTTGTTCTCACTTCACTCCCACATCTCCCAACTCTCTCCCCAGTGCCCCCCCAGCCCAGCCCCTTCTCCTCCACTCTATTCCCAGTCCCTCCCAGTGCCATCCCAGTCCCTCCCACTGCCATCCCAGTCCCTCCCAACGCCCTCCAAGCCCTCTCCCCTCCCTCCCAGTACCCCCCAGCTCAGCCCAGTGTCTCCCCCGTCCCTGCCAGTGCCCCCCAGCGTGTCCATCTCGCTGGTGCCGTCGAGCTCCCAGCCCGGCCCCGGCCGCCTGCTCTGCTCCG